GGGCATCGTCAAACATGACGAAGAGTACAAGGTTTGTTTGGAAGAGGCTGTAATATTCAATACAGGTAAGCAGCTGCGCCAACTATTCGTTACCCTTATTCTTGACGGTGCACCTGCTCGAATTCTATGGGAGCACTTTAAACGAGACTTCACCCAAGACTTACGTATGTCCATGACCTCCATCGAAGCGAGCAACGCAGCGCTTCGGGAAATCGACCTTGGATTTTGCAGCACCATGGACGTACTAACGCCATCGCCGGACTTCCAACAGTCATTCATTTAGACACGGAGTACCTACGGTTTAAACATATGTTCGACGTAGAACAGATGCGTGTTTTCGCTGCTCAGCACCTACCTAACCTTACCAACGAACAGCTTTTAGTTTACGACCACGTCATGCACAACGTCACTCAACACAACGGTTCAAAATGTCGCCGGCGCAATGTGCAATATCTCCGCGGAATCGCAACGAGCAGAAGTTTTGCGGAAATGTGATCTCATCGTTTGGGACGAAATTCCGATGAGCCACCGATATTCCGTCGAGGCGCTTGACCTTACGCTACAGGACCTCATGGGGAACACTCTGCTAATGGGCGGCAAAACTGTTTTGCTCAGTGGCGACATGCGTCAAATAGGACCCACCCGTCGTCGTGTTTTCGGACAGGCAGAAACAGTTGATGCTTCCATCATTTCAAGCCCACTGTGGCCGTATGTCCATAGAATGCGCCTGACCATTTCCCAACGTGATCGCGAGGATGCTCCCTACGCCGCCTTTGTACGCAATATTGGTATCGGAGCCCTAGCATACATTCATGACATCCCAGCAATGCCACCTGATCCGTTTGTCATTGAGAATACGGAATCATTCGAAGAATTGATCAACTTCGTCTACCCCGATATTCTACATGCAGACCCCAGCACGTTCAAGTCGAGAGCAATACTGTCCTCTACCAATGACACCATAGACACAATCAATGAACATATCCTTCACCTGCTGTCTGGTGATCTCTGTACCGTGAACAGTTGCGACACTGTCGACCCTGACAGTTGCAATGCCGATGCCTTCGACTTCGTCATGGCTGCTGACCTCAACTCAAGTGACGTTGCAGGCGTTCCGCCTCATGTCTTGAACCTAAAGCTGAACTGTATGGTAATGATAACAAGGAACCTTAACTTTAAGCAAGGACTGGTTAATGGCCAAAAAGGCATAGTCCGTGCGATGGGTTAGCAGATCGTCGTTGTGCGCTGCCGTTAGTGTGTGACTTTTCCGTGGTCACGCTGTCAGGATGACTATGCCATGTCGTGTCGTATGCGTCACTATGCATCCCACGAGGATAGTTGCTGGTTTCAAAGTCTCTGGGTTTGCGGCTCGTCGCGTGTTGTGCGTATGTGTGCTGCCGTTAGTGTGTGACTCTTCCGTGGTCGTGTTGTCAGGATGACTATGCCATGTCGTGTCGTATGTAGTGTGTGACTTTGCCGTTGTCATGAAGTTTGCGTGGTTGACTATGCCGTTTCGTGTGGTTTGCGTTGGGTGGCGCCCGTGTTGTTGACTACGCCGTGTCGTGTCGTTGCGTGGACCGTGCTTTAATTTACCGTTGCCTTAGTGTGCACCGTGTGACTTAGTTGTTAAGCCGTGTCGTGTCGTATGCTTAAGTACGTGTTTCTGCTCACTACTGCTCACAACGCACGTTCAGTGTGTGACTTCGCCCTATGTGGTACATCATTTCTCACATCTGCATACTGCGGGAACAAATTGCTGGGAATCTCACAGCCACCGCATACCATCGTTTACCAGACGCCAAGAAACATGCGTCTTGCGGTACGCTTCTCTCAGCGTGGCGGCGTAAGCCGCCGAAAACCTTGTATTAATATGCATAGAGAATGCCGCGCAGCCTGCATCTCCACGGAAAGAAATGCAACATAGAAACAGAGAAAAAAAAATGCCCGGCACCGCAAAACCCCGTACATGTTGTACATACATGAAGTACAGGAAAAATGGACCGGAAATACTCCTAGCACAACACTCATCCCCCTCTCATTCAGCGCCAGTTGGTAGCATCAACGTCCAACTGCGCGCCCACTGCCGCCGGGATGTCGTGTGCTTCACATACTCTCTTCTCTCCAGATTGCATGCATGTTCCGATATATACCAACCTCAATATACCGCACATATACCACATCGGTTGTGATGTAACATGAAGTACACCACTGCATGCCCATGTCTAGTCGCGCTACCTCGTCAATCAAGCTCATCATCAACGGTCGCACACACGCGGTACCTCACGAACCCCCACGTTAGGTTCGCTCCCGCCCTCCGACCGCCGGCCCACAGCTACAGCCGACCCTGCCGACCATAACCTCTCATCCATTCACTGTGCACTCGCCTCCTTTATTTAGTGGCACAGCAATTGACGCGCTCTCACCTGCACTGACTGAGAGTACCGCAACATCTCTAACACGACAGACACACCCGGGCAAGGACCATCTACCCACAAGAACCCTCGCCCCATCAGCAGTATCGATCGGCAAACGACCACACATTCCTCGTTCACCACTACTACTACTGGCGACCCTTCCTCGCCCTACCACTGACACCCCCAAAAGCAAAAGGGTGGGTGGGGTGGATGGGGTGGGTGGGAAAGAAATAGACCTATCTCCGAAATAAATAGCTCTTGGCTGCAGCATCCTCCCGCTATCGCGCTACCTTGGACCAACAAGTGCCCCCAAGTCTACTCCTCCAGTCAGGTTTCAGACACTTCACGCTGACTCCATGCTGCTGCTCTCTGATTGGCCAACAGATGTTTCATCTTCCGTTCCTCACAAAATGTTGGGATACGGCTCGGTGTTGTATCTTCACATATAAAAAACACTCTCCCTCTCTGCTTGGGTAGTAGTAGCTAACTTCTGAGAGGGGGCCTTATTAGAGGTCATGGGACCTTCCGAAAGGGCACCCCCACATTACTCCGCCCCCCTTTCATGCGCCTATTTCTTGTTTGCCAGTGAACGGCAAGAAGGTTTGCAGGGTGTAAAACCCCGGCTGGCGTCGAGGCGGTTCACTCGGTGCACCACGAACGGCCCCGTCACCAGAATTTCCGAAAGTAAGTTCGAAAAAAAACTCTGTTCTTTTGGTCAACCATTTTTGTTTGATGGTCCCATCATTTCTTGGGGTGCGTCAGTGGGATTCCAACTATCTCGGCTTTTCTTGCACCAAAATGAGACACGCATTTTCTTCGACGCCGTTGATAAAGGTGGGAATCGTCCTCGACGGACGGTGGGGAACTTACCAGACCCTTTCGAAGGCTACCTCTATGTGCGTGCAAGAAAAATGTTCTCTTGTTGCCACCCGACTCCACACAAAACACCCTACGGTTCCTCGACAAGTCTATTCATCCCGTACGTGGATCGCACAGTTTCGAAGTAGTTTCATATTTGAATTCGTGCTGAACTGTGTGGATAGAGATGTCACGTGCTGCTACTGTATAATGATACAGACAAGCAGACACAAAGCCAAGAGAGACCCAAGCTCTACTGGCTGTACCGGGCTCGGGAATCACGCGGCTGTCGATGAAACTAAACATGCTCTGAAAAGGTGTTGGAACAGGCGAAAGGTGTCCCAACCGAAACGGGGGTCATCTTCCTTCGTACAAACAAGTCGGCCGCCATCCTGCAAGCCCCGTGCGAACTGGCGTCAAAAACAAGCAGCCGAGAGGACGCCGCACGAATGCGCCTGTTGAAGCACCGAACTCCGCAGTTCAGTGGTCCGCAATTAACGCACAACAACCCCCCCCCGCGCGCGTACATTCGTGTTGAAGCGCCAAACTGCCAGTCCACCCACACCTGAATGCATGTATGTGACAGCAGTCTCATACGCTTGCCGCGTATTTCGGAGGAGGGTGTCGTGTCACCACCGAAACACGAAAAAACATGCGTCAGTTTCTCGTGCCCCGATCGAGTCAGGGTCGTGAGACAGACCAGAGCAACTCCGAAACGACCTTAGCCCCCCGAGGAAGCTGGGACCAGTCAAGGCTTGTCTGCCGTTCGACATCAGTCCTGAAACCGATCTTGTTCCATGGTATCTACTGCGCAATATTGTATAGACATTTTCCTGGGTGGTCCGGTATTTGTCAACCGCCGTTTTCCACCAGCTGCGCTAAGGCCGACTATTTCGATGGCGTGCTTCTACAGCGCGTCATGGAGAGGGGCACACGCAACCCAAGCACAAACAAGGATGGAAGCATTTTACAATTATCCCCAACAAGCACGTACGTTCCACCTACTTGGTGCGAGCGCAATTCACTCGATACAAGCAAGGGTAGGTCTCTCCGCACTTTTACACGAAATTCGCAAGCATGGGTGACACTTTGCCCGTCATACAAGCACCGGTGCTTCTCCTCTCGCCGAACATCGACTACTTACTACGCAAAGGAAGGCCAAGCCAACCAAGACAAAAAAAAACTTTGCGGACACCTGCTGAGCACGAAAACACACCGAGTCAGACGCATCTCACGCGACACACCAACCTTCTGCGTTTTGCCAGCCCGTCTCCGTGCTTCAGCACCCTCGGGATCCCCGACCAGTCAAATATTTTTCGCTACACTCCTCTTCCACCACCTAGTGTCTCCCCACCCCGTCCACATGATCCTCTCACCATCCTTCCTCCAGCAGGCGACCCCCCCCCCCCC